AAGCAGTCTCAAACTGCATTAATTCTGCAATTCAGATTTAGCCATAGCCAAGTGAGTCTGGAATATCAGGATGCAAAAGGATCTTATAGCACTTCTGAGACTAACTGAATGAAATAAGTTATTTCTTTTGCTCAGTTAGGGCATATCATTACTGCAGAAATAAAGCATATCTTTGCTATAACTTGAACCAGCATAGTGTAGTGGTTTGAGCACTGGACTGTGACTCTGGAGACCAGGGTTCGAATGCCAGCTGGGCTGTGAAAACCCATTGGATGACCTTAGGCAAATGACACTCTCTCAGCCTTAGATGATGGCAATGATAAATCCTCTTTGAAGAAACTTGCCAAGAAAACCCCATGATAGGTTTACTTTAGGGTCACCATAAGTTGGAAACAATTTAAAGGTGCACAATAACCACAACAAAGATTAATTGAATTAAATTAGTATGTTGGCCAGCTTCTAGACAAGTGTAGCAACCAATAAGTAGTCTGTCTCCCAAAAAGAGCTTGACATTTCTGAATCAATCTAGTCCTTCTCAGCCATTTCAGTGGCACGAAAGTCTTACATCTTCAGCGCCATGGAAAAGAGGCATATCATTTTCTCCTCTTGTCCTGCAATTCCTCACATTAGATTTGGCCTTCAGATTGTCTCTTTTAAATCCAACATAACCAAATCAACAAAAGACAGTCAAAATGCTTCCATGATTTAGATTCGACTGTCGCCCCAAGATAGAAATAACTCTCTTCAAATACCACACACATATCTATAACACACACAACTCACTAAGCACCTTCGGAAAGAAATAGGCAGAGAGATTCCAGGGCCTTTCCAGACTACCAGAAATAGTGCAAATTGAGTCCACTTTAAGGGTTAGGGTTAGGGTTAGGGAATCATGGGAAATGTATTTTATTGTGGCACCAGAGCTCTCTGACAGAGAAGACGCAATGTCTCAGAAAAAAAACAATTCCCATGATTCCCTAGCACTAACCCTAACCCTTAAAATGGACTCAATTTGCACTATTTCTGGCAGTCTGCAAAGGCCCTCCATCAGCTTGTTATCAGCATATGCAACATGACATAGGGGTGATTAAAGAATACAGATATTTAAATCAGAGGGAAGGAAAGTGGGCTGGGGAATATAATTTAGGCCATATCTATCATTGTGGGAAGAAAAAATTACCAGCTGCCCAGCAAATCAAAGTTTTATGGATGCAGGGCTGGAGACTTGCAGTAGTATTTAGAGGAGCCTGGAGGTAGTTTGAAAGAAACAGAAATTATTTTGTCCTAGTCAAATGGTTTGGAAAGTTTTTGAGAAGCAAACCGCATATTATCCTGTGGACACATGTCATAGCAAACTGTGGTAGTCCCTTCTCCTTTCAGTGACTTTTCAAGATGAGATACTTTGAAAACTTGGAAAATTTACTCTGCTGGGTTACAATAACTTCATTCCTCCATCCAGAATTGCTTGCTAAGGGATTCTGGACATTGTTGTCCAAAAATGAACACTCCCAACTCTCAGACAAGAGAGAATGGGAGTGTTTAATTCATTCCTGCCAACCAATGTTCCTATAAAACATAAGGAGATCCCTGTATGCAGAACCCCACAAACTGGCAAAAGTGGACCCAACCCTCCTTCATAGAGCATCTGGGTAAAAAAAGATTCAAAAAGATTTTTGGACCCTAGGTGACTGTATTTCCCCACCTCTGGAATAGACCAATGCTACTCAAAGCCATAGGTCCTGGAATGATGCTAGTCCTCAAAGAGTGGGCTGAAAGTCCCTGGCAAGTTTGCAGGGAACAAACAATTGTACTGAGTGAGCAACAATTCAGTCCTAGTTACTGGCATATGGGAAAACAATAATTACTTAGGACTTTTTCTCACGGGTCTAAAAGAGAGACTTTCAACTGGGTAAAAGTGTATTTGGCTGGTACTTAGACACCTTTTATGGCCATGTGATAAGCTCCAAAGTCTTGAATCCCCTAACTCACACAAACTGAGAAACATTGGTGTAGACAATATAAACTAGATGGATTGTTGTGTTGACGCAAGTCAATTCTAAGTGCCTCTATATATGTACAGTTACAGTTTCCTCTCCCATTCTTTACTCTTTTCCCTTCCTTTGGGCTAAGAGTTACCTTGCTGCAGCCCTGGGTTAGGAGCCTTCCCAAGGAATGGTATATACCCCTATTTGATAAACCTTGTTACAATATTATGTGGCATGTGGTTGAGTCGTCATGATTCAGTTGATAATCTACACCCTTTGGGTGCAAAGAAGGTCCACCAAGCATCCTTCTTGACAACCTCCAGGCCATGGCTTTGAAAAAGGGAGGGACAGTCAAGTTAGGTCCACAGAAACCATATGTCAACCTTACCCCAACAAGTCAAGAACTGTGTGAACAGCCACATAGAAGGAAAAAGGCTTCTGCTAAGCCTGCCTGCAGATTTCCTCCCTGCAGAAACGTCTGTGCTCCTCTCCAGGGGATGGGTTGTGTCCTAGTCACCCTTATCCATCCCTTTCTGCTCTTCTCCCACTAGAGGAAAGAACAGAATTTTGCTTCCTCCAATAAATTAAGCTGATGAATACACATTTTCCATTCCTCCCTCCTTGCTAAGGTCCAGATCCTGCTATATTTTTAAATGCAATGCTACTGCAAATATATACACCATTCAGAAACCATTCATTGGTTACCATGAAGCCAAAGGATCTACAGCGAAAGGGTCTACAGAATGATTAAGTGATTGCATGCAATAAATGCTAGAAGAAGACAAGGAAAGATGGACAAAAGGCCAACCTTGGGCACAAAGATGGACACAAGGCCAACCATGAGCCTGGCTGAAGCCATAAGAATGGGTACATTCAAAATATGATGTGTCCGTGAGGTTCGAAGGCTCACCCACTTGTATGAATGACTCATTCTTTGCAAGTGGGAGCTTTCTTTTAAAAAAAGAAATGGGTCAAGATGAGTCAGTTGTCAATAAGAGTCAAAAATATTCTGGCTTTCAGTGGTTATTCCTGTATGATTATTCCTGTACCCAAATGTTGGTTGCGGAATTTGCTGCATGGGTGTACAGTGTGATGGTCCAGGAAGAAATCTGAGATGGTTTGGATACAATAAAGGATATTTACAGCTCATCCTTAGGGGACTGACTATTACCTGTTGGATCCTGTCCCCAAACCTTATGCCAAGTCAGTAGGGAACATCCTGCTCACCTGCCCTGTTTTGCAGTCTTTCAGGGGCCCTTCTGCACTGCCCAGGTATAGTACTATGACTCCATTTTTAACTGTCATGGTTGTATCCTATAGAATCCTGCAGTTTAGGGAGGAGCATTTAGAATTTTCAGCCAGGCTTC